CGGATCTCAAAGGAAGCTTGTGTTCTTTTCTGGTGAGAAGAAAAAAAAATAGCTACAGTCATGATTCATGTAGTAATTGCTTCATTTGATTGGGCTCCTACCATGGGAGAAGAGCTCTCATTCCTTCCTTATCTTTCTTCCTTGATCTTGACCTTCTCTAAGTTTCTGCCTTCTCATATGAACAGCCCCCACTAGCTTGGAATTTTGTTAATAAATTCTTCCCCCTTGGACTTCTTCCCAAGGAGATGCACTTGGCCCTGGTTCTTAGAGGAGCACCACCTCCCAGTGCAGACCGTTGACTCAGCCTGGCTCTGGGCCTGGGACCACGGAGCTCTGTTGAGGTGCCCATGCCCACCTCTGGTTACCCCTGTCATTCCCTTTTCTTTTCAGAGCAGAACTAAAAGGAGACAAATTACCAGAAGCATTGCTTTCCCCTAAGAACCTGCAGGAAGAGCTGTGCCCGAGGGTGGGAGTGAGGGCAGAGGACATGGCGATGAAGAGCAGGCCTTGGACCCACTTGGCTAGACCCTGGTAGTCGGCTCCTTGTTTGGGCTGAACTGACCACTAAAAGGAGAATAACATCTGTGTTCTTGGGATTTGTGACGGAGGGTTTGCCTGGGGACTTGCAGGGTTTTAGCCTCTTTCAACCAGATGTCAGAGTCCTTAAAGCAATCCCAGACCTTCCCCGTGGCCCCACTCATGGCACTCTGCCAGCCAAGACCATGGATTTGGAAAACCCAGCCCCCAGTTAGCTGTAACACCACTGCTCCTTGCCGAATTGGATTGTTGATTTGTAGTTCAGAGGTACAAAATTAGTTGGTAACGAGACTGTTACTGGATGTCACCAGCCTGAAATGCAATCACCTAGTAAGCAATAAAGCAGGCATCTCTGGACGTTACCGACCACTCGGCCATTCCTGTCCTTAATAACAAACATCTTTTTGCTTGTGGTGCTGTGCTTGTAGGAGGTGGGCAGGGGGATGGGACATAGGAGAGCCTCTCAATTTTCATTGGACACCTGGTGGCTACGTTTCAGAATTGTCGAGAACCCCGAGACCCAACGTGGTCATCTGTCAAATCCTCCGGAAGCCGGAAAGCTCGTTCGGATTAGGGCACTAGAGGCAGCTCCCTGCTGGAGGCCTGGCTGCCATCTCTCTTGGTTTGCCTCGCCCTTGCACGCGGTGGATTCTCAGAGTAGACATCCTTGTGGACATGTGTGCTCATTCCCTCCCTGTAGGGGAGCAGATGCTCTGAAGCTGGAGAAGTCCAGGTTGGGGAACACAAGGAATCCGGCCCGTGTCTCCCTGTGATGGATGAGGCAGTAGTTGGCGATCCTCACACCTAGCTCTGTCTTAGGGCCGGGGTTTCTCTGGGAACCCTGTCAGTGTCTCCCTTGGGGGGTGGGATGGGGGGGTGGGGACAAGTTGAGTTTCACCTCCTTTGGGAGATGGGTAAGATTTCTGTCCGTACCCTGTGTCGTGATGACCTTGGGAGAAAGGTGGTCTTGTAGCAGCTACTTATCTTCTGGGGTGGAAGGAACAAATCCAGTGAAGAGTCCCTGTGAGTCACTGCAGCAGAAAAATAGGTCATCTGTGGTCCTTCCGTGTCCCGTACAGGGCTGACTGAACTACTTGCCACTAAAGTCAACTAGCTCCTTGGCGCCAGAATCCCCTTTAGAGACGGGGTGCAGGTTCAGATCGGTGCGAAGCTTCACTAAAAAGGCGCATTAGGGTTATAGAATGGCGATTTTGGGGGGCAATGCTGGGGGAGCAAGACAGTGAAACATCCCTGTCTTGATAGCGCAAGCGATCTTAAAGGTTATTGGTGCAGACAAAGTGGGTGGCTTCTTAATTTCCACTAAGCACCTCCAAAATACCTTAAAATTCTTGTCGCTAATTGGAAGCAGGTTAAAACACCAGCTGTCGTGTATTCAGGGGTTTCCGACAGCAGCTAAGGAAACCATGCCCTGCAGCTTGAGGCAGGATGGTGGTTGTAAAAATGCCACCCCCGGGTTCCAGATTGTGCTCACCACAATGACTTCCAGATTTGATTCTATCCGTTTTCACAGCAGAAATGAGGGTGTGTTTTTTTTTGTTTGTTTTTTAAATCTGTCCCCAACAATAAAGATCTGCTTCTTCTAGATTGGTATTACAATGGGCAGTTGCAGATGCCAGAGGGTGACTGAACACCAGCTTCCTTTGTCTGCCCCCCCCCCCACACACACACACTCACACACTTGAAATCAATGGCGCTCACTTACCCGAGCACTGGGAGCCAGTACTGCTTTTTTGGCATCAGCCAAGCTTCAAGTGGTAATTTTCAGCCAGACTTTGTTTTTTCCTGTTGCCTAATTAAAGACACCGAAAAGCTGTTCTCTCCTCCTGCTGCCTTTTTGCAGGGCAGCAGAAAGAATTCTGCAATGATGTAAAGACTAGGATATGGTCCAGGGACAGATCTGCCGGGCCTAATAAGCTGTTGCTCTGTCACCTGAGAAGAAAGCCACACGTGTGCGCGTGGGCGTGCGAAAGGCTGTGCACTTGAATTACAGCGCTGGGGGGGCGGGGGGGCTGAGTGAGTGTCTGGTCCATGCCCCTCTGGTCCTGCAGGCACGGGCACGCGCACATTCTGTTCTGTCGTTTGCCCTGGTTAGCGTGGACAGGCCCGTGCTTGCCCCGTAGGACCGGGATGCCACCCAAGGACAGATTGTAGGGAGGCTCAGCCGCGCCCTCTGCAGCTTTCCTCAGGCTGCCTCTTTGTGAAACAAGGACGGTCAGAGGCCCAGGCTCAGGAGCTTTCCAGTTCCCTCTCACGTGGGCCTGCTGACGTGAGCACTCAGCCCCTTTCCCTCTGTGTAGATACGGGAAGAGCATCCCCTGCTTTCCTTCAGGTAGGCTGCTCAAGGGAAAACTTTGGGGACAAATGGCTGTTGTTTATTAGCCCCATTATTGGTGCGAATGGTGCATGTGCAAAGGGTGAAAAATTTCCCAGGCAACAAAAGGCTTGTGTGTAGGGAAATTTTTATATTGGGCCTGCTTTATGGCCAGGGTTTCTCCTACTGGGGAAAATAGGAATTAGGATGTTCTACACACCCCTTGCATGGGAAAGCATGACGTAAATATGCTTCATTTTCAAGACATAAATATGTCTCGCCCCCTTGGTGTTTGGAGTACTTCCCAAGCCAGGAAGTGTGTTGTTAAATTTGAGTACGAGTGTTCTGAGGGACTGTTAGGTTTCTGTTCAATAATGTGCCAAAGCCTCTGTCCCCAGGCAGCAGGCCGGCGGGACGCTCAGAGACAGCCGCAAGTCTGGTGCTGGTGCCTCACACCGATAGGTCACCCACAATGGGCTAGACCTAGGACTCAACAGGAGACAGGATCTCAGGACCAGGGCCACAAAATACATCTCCGGTGGACATCAGAGGCTATGGGAGTGCCCAGCCAATCACGAGCCACTGTGCCTGTGGCAGTCAGTTGGTGAGTGGTGAGAGGGAGGCTTGGAAGCCTGACCCCGCTGCAGCCAGGCCACCTCCCCAGCCTTTGTTCCCTTCTTGCATTTTGAGGAAGCAGCAGCTTTCGTGATGGTCCTCACCAACTACGAAGCTTCAATTTAAAAAAGCAGCGCTTCCCTACAAAACAAATGCAGTGAGAACAGACCTGATGCCGTTTGTCATGTGTTCAGGTTTTTCCGACGTATGTGGCCTTCGAGCAGCAGCCCTGGCTTCCTAAGCTCGGCTGTTTGCAGAGCTCGGCTTGCAGCTGCTCTCTCAGCTGCTCCAATGCAGCAGGGCAACCTAGTGAGACTGCCTCCTCCAGAGCGGTCGTCTGGCTCACACAGTAACCTGGCTGCTAGCTTATTACCTTTGTGTATTAATTGATGAAGAGACAAAAATAAGATCTTGAAGTTTAAGGTGTCTACAAGCTGCAGGAGGGCAGAGGTGGCTTGGCCAAGAGGGGAGCCCTGGGCCCAGCAGGGCAGCCAGGCGTTTTCAGCACCACCCATGGGACCCTGGCTGAGCACTGCTTATGGGGTCTTTGGTGGCAGAACAACAAAAGTGGAGCTAAAGGCTGCTCAGCTTGGATGGTGATGACATCTGGTGTTGCTGTTACCCCTGGGGCAAGAGGTAGGTCCCAGGGGGAACCAGTCCCTAGGTCTGTTCATCCTCTGGGCCTTCACCTGGGAGAGCAGCTGTGACTGGGGATAGGAAACAGGTTTGGGGGGGCTCTCCCTGCCCAGAAGCTCCAAGCCAAGGGCGAGGCAGTGGTTCCCAGTATGGCCTGGGGATCCCAGTGTTTGCCTGAAGCTGCTTTCTCAGAAGTTCTATTCAAGGGGGTGGGGGTGGGGGGGTGAGGTGCTAGTTTTGTTTTGCTGTGTCCACTTCTCATTTCTATGCATTTTCTCCTTAGTTTTGGGTCCACTGAGCTCCTATACTTCAAATTCTGCCCGGAGAATGACAATATGGATGAATCTCCAACTTACCTGAGCACTGTGGCTTGCAAAATGCCTCGTGGTGGAGCATTTAAATACTCCATCCTCTTTTCAACTTAAATCCAGGAAAAAGCCTCCCGGCCGGTTGGGAATGGTTTTGAGGTATGGCTGCCACCTTGTGGCAGAATCATATTACAACTGTGCTCAAACACAAAGGCAAGGGGTAAGCTTGGCCAACCTTCTGACATCTTACAGCCAAGCAGTGTTTTGCTGGTCAGATCCTGCTCAGTAGTTATTTCCTGGGGAAATGGTGGCAGAGCAAGTGTTGGCCTCAAAATTGAGACTTCAAGATAGCGATTTTCCAATATTACTCTGCAAACAAGAACTTCACTTGCTTCCCCTATAGTCATTTTAAAGAAAGGAAGATTTGCCCTCCCCTGTTAAATTATACCCACAGAAACACAAAAGGAAATCACTAGGCATGGTGTGTAAGCCATTGACCACAAAGTGAAAGTGATGTACATTTCATTTCCAGCTTACACCCAGGATAAAATAGGCTTAGAATTAGTTTTTCTGTTTCTTTCATTTTTATTTTGTAACAAAAATCAGCAGGAAGCATAACCCAGGGACAGAAATTACAGACTGGTTTAATACTGGGCCTGGGCTTCCTTTTAGTGACTTTCTTTAGCACTTTTTCCAAGGTGTTGAGACCAAATGTCAACAGAGGGGTGGTAGTTTTCTGGGCCGCCTCCCAGATTTAGTGCTGGGCATTGTGGCTGTGAAGCTGGCAGACTAAGCCCCAGCCTTTGTGGGCTCCTCCACTTTCTACAAGTTGACGGTCTTAATCTGTGGGCCACTTGCATTGGACATTTGGGGGGGGCCCTAGGCAGACCCAGCCAGACCAGAGCGTGGCACCAGAACAAAAGTTCTGATAAGCCTTGGAGAGAACCAACCAGATTGTTCCTGCAAAAACTCCTCCCCTCAAACATGCCAAAGCAATCTCCTCTGCCACCTAGGGCATGAGTCAGACTTGACTCTTGAAAGGAAGTTTAACCAGGGACCTGGGAAAGCCAAAGGCAAAGGAAGATCTCGGTGCCTCTTAGGAATGCCAGCAACTCAGCCTCCCTGGAATGAGCAGCTGAAGGGCTCCCAAGGAACCCTAACCATTGCAGGAGCCACTGTGTGGAAGGGATGCAATAAACCACACTGCTCGTGGTGGTGTCAACTCCAACCACATCCTCTGTGGTCACAAAAGCAGACTGAAATAGGTCCCACCCTTGAGTTCCGCAGTGACTTAAAGCACAGCAAATACTACCTGCATTTGCCTATTCCTGGTTACACCCCAGTTGGCACATGGTGAGGACCTAGTCAGTCACTATCTGCTGGGGGTTTGACAGAAGAGCAGGGTCTTGCTAGTGTTATGGGTTCAAGGGTCCCTGGCTCTTATCCTCAGAACCTCAGCTTCTCTCCCCTCACAGAAGCCCTCGTTTGCACAGCAACCAGGAATGCTGGCACTTTCCTAAGTTCTGTTCCTCTATGCAGGAGAGGGGACTAATGTAAGTAACTCCAATCAGTACGTTTAACCAAAAGTGTTACATAAGGTAGTGTTACATAACAGCAGGAAGCAAGTAAAAGGGGTACAGCTTTCCTAACGGGTGCAGACTAAGCTGAAGATTCTAAAACTGCTTCCTCCTTTTCTGAACAGAGCCCTTAAAAAGATTATCTGCAGAGGTGCTAAGAAGGTATAATGCCACTTGAACTAAGCTGCTTCTATCAGCTGTATCACCAGAAGTGGGAGAATCGTGTTCTACATACACAATGGCTGTTTAAGTCAGGGCCTGAACAAATTGCAGAGACTGACACAGCCAGCTGGAAAGGACAGCTGGCTATTGAATGCCATCACCTGTAGCCTTCACATATATATAAAAAATTGGGGTGCGAGGGGAATGGGAGATCTCGGGAAGAATCTTGACCTTTGTTATTTTTAAGAATAAGCAAAAATTCAAGGAAATTCCTATTTTTAATAACCACCCAACAGTTTTATGCCTCGCTGTTGGGAAGCCATAATGACCAACTCTGCCAGCCTAATGTAGGAGAGCTAGAGACAGCCTCAAACCAAGGATGACTTCCACGTCCCTCTCAGGGGCAACTAACTCCTGTCCCTGCTCAAGTGTTCCGCCCTTAGCCGCAGCTGTCTTCTCCCTTCAAAAAGGAGGATGCTGGCAGCCATGGCCGAGTTCAGGCTGTCCACACCAGGCACGACAGGGATCAGCAGCCTCTTGCCCCCGGTGCTCTCAGCCAACTGCAGGGACTCCAAGCTCAGGCCATGCGTCTCCCCACCTATGACCACAGCTGCTGGGGCCTCTGTCCAGTCCAAGTCGTAACTCTGCACCTCAAGTTCAGGGAGCCAGTCTTTACTGGCTCCAGTTTCTAGATCCTCCTCCTCCTCCTCCTCATACTTGTGAATCTTCGAGAGTTGTTGGTCACACATCCAGCCATGGTCACTGGCTTTATTAGATTTCTGGGCCTGGGTATAAAGGCCACAGTTGTCTGCCACGTAGACCCGGGTATCGTCGGGCAAGTACTTGGGCACTGTTTCCCAGTCCAGGTTGTTGATGATGGGCACCTGGAAATGCGCACCCATACCTGCCCGCAGCACTTTGGGCTCCCAGGGATCCACACAGCCTAGAAAATAAAAGAGGATCTAATTAAGATTACAAACCTTCCCAGACGAGGGGACTTTCAAGTAAACTAGATTAATTCTGGATCAGGAGATAAAACAAAAAATCTCCTACTGTAGGTTCTTGATAGCTGGCTCCACTGCCTCCCCCATATGGCACTATCCAGCAATGGGACTGTAGGAGGAATTCCGGCTAGTGCCCAAACAGACTTTATTCATCCCTTCAACATTCACACCTGCCAGACATTGTATGGGAGATGCAAGAGCATTTAAAGTCCCCAACCTCAGCGAGCTCATGATACAGAAGCAGCATGAAAAGGGTAACTAACAGAAAAACCCTTGCACAAAGAAGGACTACCAGGAAAAACACCCCAGAGACATGACACTGAGCTGGATCTTGAACGATAGGAGGATCTTGTCGGAGAAAAAAAGGCCCAGGGAGAGGTCAAAGCTACAGAAGGGGGAAGAGTGCCACAGTCCAAACACTGTAAGTAAGGTGGATTAGGAAAACTAATGGGTAGGTGTGGTGGGAGATAAGACAGGAGGCAGGTATGTGGGACGGGTGTGTGGCGCTGCTGGTCATGGAGACGTGCCAATTTAAAGGCAGCTGGGTATGAGTTCAGGATTTTATCCAGAAGACAAATGACATTGAAGGATTTTAAACAGAATAGTGACAGAATCTGGTTTATGTTTTAGAAAGAGCCATTTGGCTTCAATGCTGAATCTGATTGGAGCAGGGAAGATGCTAGAGAGATGGGGAAATCAGACTGGAGGCAATTACAGTAATCCAGGGAGAACCAAGGCAACAGCCTTGTCCTTCACATACACACCTGCTCTTACAACAAGAAGGCTAAACCATCTACTCTCTTACGTACGGGCACGTGCTCAGCCCAACAACTTCTATGTACTGGCAGATACTTCACCTTTCCTAGGACCATGTGCTGGAACAGACAGCAGGACCAGGACACCACAAACCTACCATCCTCCTCATTAGCACAAGTCTCCTCACTACAAGTTATTTTAAAGAGGGGCCCAGATTCATGAGGAGAGCCATCTAGTGTGACCCCTCTACTTGGTGGGGGAGTACAGGGCAAGATGAGATTTCCTCCATCCACATGTCCTCAATACTATGCCCCACACCAAGTGTTCCCTACTCTTCCTACCACTCATACACAGCCCCCAGCACCATTGTGAAAACATCACTCGGGTTATATAGGAACATTTCCAAAACCACACCTACTCAGAGCTCTCACCAATGGGGCAGGTAAGTGGGTACTGATGATGGAGCCCAAGCACCCAGCTCTCACACTGGCAGAGACATGCACTCCGACGTGTGACTGGGGGGAAAGTTACAAGAGGAATTTAGGCAAGTCTCAGCAATGGGTACCAATTTGAGTTTACACTGAAAGGTAACCTGAGTGTTTCGGATGAATGATCCCCTCCTTCCCACCCTCCCCTAAGTTGTAATAGGCATTTTAGGCTTGTCCCAACTGTTAGGCAGGTCTGTTTAGAACCAAGCTTACTAATCCCCATTTCTAATGAGGAGACAGGAAAAAAATGTTGTGGGGTGTATGACTTCTGAGGCTAAGGGAAATGTATCACAATTTCATAATCGCACTCTGTTGAAATACACTCTGTTGAAATAATTTCCTTTCACAGGATTCAGAATGTCAAAGAATTAGAATGGTCTCATATACTCAAGATCATTAAATAAAGGACTTGAAATCAAAAATTAAAACTAGCATCTACTTCTTTCCCTGATTAAGTTTTTCTTTAATAACTTAGCAGGTGTCAAAATAATTTTAAAAGATAATCAACATATACTGAATTGCTATGTGCCAGGTACAATGCCAAGTACTGTCTGTGCATTATGTCACTTGATCCTCAAAACTTGATCCTACCTTCCATGTAGATTCTGTTATCATACCCACGTTATCGAGGAGGAAACGGACACTCAGAATTTCACTCAGACCTGTAGCTAATGAGGAGCAGACCCAAGATTCAAATCCAGGCATGTCTGCCCAGAGCCAGCTCACTTACAAATGGCCACCCAGTCACAGGCGCTCTTACCTTTGGTGAGTAATACTTTGCTGCAACCTGCCCCAGCAGCAGATCTCAGAATCGTCCCCAGGTTCCCAGGGTCTCGGAGATTGTCACAAATCAACAATAAGGGCAGTGAATGGCGAAGCTGAGTTGCTGGGAATGTCATCTTAACGTGATCAGGTTTGGCAAAAATCCCTGAGGAAACAAAACAGGAAGTTCACTTGTCTAATGTAGACATGGGGAATAATTAGACTTTTCATTTATTTCTCACTGCCTATATTTTCTTAATTACTTGAATACATTCTGGTTGAAAAAATTCAAAGAGAAAGTCCTACCAGTGATCCCCCGCATAAGTGCTTTCAATCTTGAAGTGTATTGTATACTTTCAGAACTTGTTCCATGCAGCTACCTACATATATGCACATCTACCCACAGAGAGGTGCTTTTATTCTTTTACAAAATAAATCATACTCAGTATTATCCTGTAATCTACTTACCAAAGTCTATAACGTGTCTTTGAGAACTTACCATGTCAGTACACTTGGAACTATCTTATTAAGTGCTGCTTCTTGTTTTGTAACTTGAATGTACTACGTTTATTTAAATCTTTAATGGACTGACATTTAGGATATTTTCAATTTCCCCTATTATAAACAACCCTGCAATAAACATCCCTGTATGCCTCTCTGTGCACACGTCTCAACATTTCCCTAGGAAAAACTCCCTTCTAAGTGAAACGAGTAAATGGTGTGTGTACACTGTTCATGGTAACTGATATTGCCCGCCCTCCCCACAAGCCCTTCCAGTTTATTCACACCAAGAACACCTACTAGTACATCCCTGCACCTACCCTATCAATGACATCACAGCTAGATAAAACCTTACGTTAGATTCAGGCAAAGGAAGACAAGGCTTCCTGTTCCGTGGGCTAAACAGGGCAATACACTGGAGCTCAGACCTGCTTCTAGAACAAGGGAGTCAACGACAGGCATCGCCACACGGGCAGGGGTGCTGTGGAAATGGATGGCTAAATCTTTTGGCAAACGTTTTCCTAAGTTTTAGTTGGGCATTAAAGGTTGAAGAAATGACCTAAAAAAAAAAAAAAAAAGGTGTGAGGAATAATAAAGGGCCATAATACAAATAATGATGGCTTCACTTCCCACTAACAATACTAGAAGATGCACGACTTACAGAAGATGTGAGAACTCTTATTTTTCTGGGCATCTTCAGAAACACTTTGAATCTGGTTTAAATAAAATGTGTCCCCCTGAGACAAGCATGAACGAACAATCCCAGGCCTCTACTGCCGGTGACACACCGCGCAGCCACTGACCCATGATTCCTTGCGGTGTGACTAGGTCGGACCATTCCTTGATTTCCTCAAACTTCACCTTAACGAGGCGGACCCCCTTCAGCTTATCGACGGGCAGCTCCTTCAGGTAGTCCAGGCGGCTGAAGAAGAACATTTGGGGCACAGCGCCGGCCTTGAGGGCGTCCGCGATCAGCCGGCGGCCTTCCAGCAGGATCTTCCCTTGCTTTTCCCGGAATGTCCTGGACTTGACGACTGTCATCACGCTGCTGGGGGGCAGAAACACAGAGACTGGCAATGAGCACGCATTCCCGACTCGGAGGCACGCCTCGTCCTAACGGACAGGGGGCCCGCGCTGCCCTCCGTGCGTGACCAAAGCCAGCGGGTGGTGCTGGAGCAGGTCCTCCGCCGGAGGAGAGAGGGTCAGGCCCGCTGGGAGGCGGGAAGGGAGACGGGGACACTCCGTCCACGCGGTTTAGGAACACGTCACCTCAGCCTTTTGTCCCCGGGGAAGGCCTTATCGTAGCGCAGCCCCGACTCTTCCCAGGTGCTGGGCGTCTGGGCTGGGGGCTCCTGAGGCGCCTGCTTCGGTCGCTGCACGTGGGGACTGGCCTCGGCCGCCGCCTTCCGGGGCCGCTTCCCGGGGCCGGGCTTCCGGTCCACCACCTCTCCGGACGGAAACAGCACTTTCACGGGGCTCCGCCGCAGCGCCCGGACCCAGCGCCGGGCGTCGAGGTCCCAAGCCTGGACCGCCGGCAGCAACGGCCGCGGGGCCCATCCCACGCCCTTCACCAGGATCGCCATCTTCCCCGGCGCCGGGGGGGCTGCGTCACGAGAGTGCGCCGGCGGCGCGCGATGACGTCACCGCGCCGTCCGCGTCGTCTGGGGGCGGAGCGGCTCTGGGGGCGAAGCGGCTCTGCGAGCGGAGCGGCACAGTGTGCGGGACGGGTGTGTGGCGCTGCTGGTCATGGAGACGCGCCGAGCTCTGCACTTCGTCTTCAAAGTGGGAAACCGCTTCCAGACGGCGCGTTTCTTTCGTGATGTCCTGGGCATGAAGGTGCAGACGCGGGCGAGAGGGGCTGGCGCGCGGGGGGCGTGGGAGGCGTGGGGAGCGCGGGAGGCTGAGGCTCACCTGTCCGAGAGGAGGGACGCGGGTGTCAGCCCAGCTCGGTGTCCGACCTTAGCCCCGGCCTTCCCATTAGCCCCGTCGGGTTTCCAGCCTCAGGAAGCCGTGCTTGGGTTATGGCCTTTGAACGGGGCCTCGCATTTTATCTGTTGCCGATGACGTGCTCACACACGTTCTTTCATTTAAATTCATTCACAAACGTGTACTGCGCTCCGGACCTTGTGGAGCGTCCCGCCTGGTGGGAAAGGCAGAGCTCAAGTTCCGGCTGACGGTCACTCAGTCTCCGGGTGTGGAGCCTTTCGGCTGAGATCGTCCGCATAGTCAGAGCTCCGTTTCTCTCCGGGAGGTTGGGGTGTTCTCCTTTGGACTCTCGGGGTCTGGGTGGATGCGCCCACTCTCCTCTCAACAGCCCCGATGTAAGTGTGAATCAAACCCCGTTCCTCTCCAACATCCCGCACCTCTCTGCAGCCCTGGGCAGTTATGCTCCTGCGGGTCACTGGGTGGCACGCAGGTGGAAGCCGCTGGGGAGCTCCTGATAAGCAAGGACCTGAGAGGTACAAGGTGCAGTTTAATGTAGAGCGTGCAGAGGACGTGGGGTGCAGGTACTAGTATATTGTCCAGTTTCTCGGGACTGTGTTGAGGTTTGGGAGCAGATGAAAATGACTCTGTGTATCTGTCCTCAGTTAAACCTGGCTTGGGGTGGGGCAAGGATGGGAATTTGTGCAAAACTAACAGTAAGGGAAGTAGAAATTCGATGTGGTAGGAAACTGCAAACTGTCCTTTATTGTGAAAGTGTCAGCGACTGTTACACAAGAAGGAGAGACTGAACTCCATCCTGGAGTGGTCAAGAGATAATTCACAGGGACTTTGCATTTGAGTTGAAGTCTAAAGATAGGACTTCCACAGGCCCCACGGGGGTAGTACCTTACTAAAGAGCCAGTACAGATATAAGGAATGTTCGGGAAGCACCACTAGTTTTACATGCCTTTATTTATTTATTTATTTATTTAAATGTATTTTATTGACTTTAGAGAGGAAGGGAGAGGGAGAGAGTGACAGAAACATCAATGATGAGAGAGAATCATTGATTGGCTGCCTCCTGCACACCCCCCACTGGGGACTGAGCCGCAACCCAGGCATGTGTCCTTGGCCACAATCGAACCCGGGACCCTTCAGTCCGCAGGCTGACGCTCTATCCATTGAGCCAAACCAGCTAGGGCTAGTTTTACATGCCTTTAGATGCAATTACTTATTTGAAGTTGAGGAGACAGGATATCAGCCCAAATAGGTTGGTACTCCTTCCGATTGTATCTTGAATTCTATGCTAAGTATTTAGACTTTATGCCCCAGGACATTTATGCCTGAGGACATTTTTTCTATTGCTTTTTCAGAGAGAGTGGAAGGGAGGGGGAGAAAGAGAGAGAAACACTGATGTGAGACACATCGATTGGTTGCATCCCACATGTGCCCCGACCGAGGTGGGGATCGAACCTGTAACCCAAGTATGTGCCCTTGATGCAGAATCGAACCCTTGACCCTTTGGTGTGCAGGGTGACACTCTAACCAGTGAGCAATGCCAGCCAGGTCTAGAGACCTAATTTATGGTGCTGTCGATGTAAGAAATGTCCAAATTTGTAGAGAATTTTTATTATTATAAGAGTTTATTTGAGAGAGGGAGAAGATGACGGTATAGGTAATCACTTATACTTGCTGCCTCTCACAACCACACCAAAATTACAACTAAATGGCAGAACAACTACCACCCAGAACCGCGGGAAAGCTGGCTGAGTGGAAATTCTATAACTAGAAAGGTGAAGAAAGCGCGTTGAGACTGGTAAGAGGTGCGGAGGCGCGGAAAATGCTGACACCTGGATGTGCTGTTCTTTAAACCCGGAGGGAGATGCAAGCTCCCGCTTGCCCTGAATTCCAGTTACAGGCGAGAATCTAGGGGACCCAGACACATACGGGAAAAAACTGGACTGTCTGGCATTGGGACAGGAATGTGAGGGTGGCTTACTCTTAGAGGTGCTCGAAGTAATCATTGTTCCTGCACGGTTGCGCGGGTCGGAGAACCAGGGACTTCTCCGGTTCAGGGAAGCCATTGCTGTTTGCTCTGAACTGGTGATTCCCAGAGACCCTGCCCCACCCAATTTAAACCCCACCCAAGCTGTGCGCATTGGCTTTTGCATATGAATTGCCTGTCCTTTCGTCTAAAACAAACTGCAGCTGGGTCAGAGAGCCCCAGAGATTCCAAAGAAAGGCCCAATACCTGGTAGCAGCAGCAGCCTTGTGTCACAGCTGGGCACTTCCAAACTCCATACAAAGAGGAGGAATCTGCAGATGTCTCTGTAGCTCCTGCTGGGTGGCCCCAGACAGTGGCTGACCTTGCACCTCCTTGGAGATGATAACGGATTACAACTCTTCACATCCACAAGAGACACACTCAAGGGGCAGACTCAGTGAGCATCAAAGCCCTATGAAGCAAGTCCTGCCCCATAAGGGTGTCTCCTGTGCAACAGATCTTCCAGTGTAGACACAGCTGGTCACCAAAGCCAGTTGGCCTGGAGGTCAATTCCTCTCAGTGATACCAACAGCAATCAAGGGTTAACTACAACAAGACTGTGCAAACATCCCACAAAGGGGTGCACTAAGAGTGTCCACCTCAGGTGACTGGGGAGGCTGAGCCACTGGGCCCTATAGAACACCTACCACACAAGGCCACTCTATCAACTCAAGGAGACTTAGCAGCTACCCAGTACATAGAAACAAACATAGGGAAGCAGCCAAAATGCAGAGACAAAGAAACAAGTCACAAATGAAAGAAATGGAGGAAAGCAAAATACTGGATATAGAGTTCAAAACCACAGTTATAAGGTTACTCAAGAATCTTCTAGAAACCTCTGAGAAATTTAGTGAGACCCTCAAGGATATGAAAAAGGACCAATCAGAAATTAAGCATGCACTGACTGAAATAAAGAATAATATACAGAGATCTAACAGCAGACGAGAGGATCCCAAGAATCAAGTCAAAGATTTGAAATACGAAGAAGCAAAAAAAAAAAAAAAAACCCAACCGGAAAAGAAAAAAGAATCCAAAAATATGAAGATAGTGTAAGGAGCCTCTGGGACAACTTCAAGCGTACCAACACCCAAGTTATGGGTGTCCCAGAAGAAGAGAGCAAGATATTGAAAACCTATTTGAAGAAATAATGGCAGAAAACTTCCCCTCTGGTGAAAGTAATAGACTTACAAGTCCAGGAAGCGCAGAGAACCCCAAACAAGGGGAATCTAAAGAGGACTACACCAAGAAACGTCATAATTAAAATGCCAAGGGCAAAAGACAAAGAGAGAATCTTAAAAGCAGCAAGAGAAAAACAGTTACCTACAAGGGAGTACCCATATGACTGTCAGCTGACTTCTCTACAGAAACTATGCAGTCCAGAAGGGAGTGGCAAGAAATATACAAAGTGATGAATAGCAAGAACCTTCAACCAAGATTACTCTACCCAGCAAAGCTATCATTCAGAATTGAAGGTCAGATAAAGAGCTTCACAGACAAGAAAAAGCTAAAGGAGTTCATCACCACCAAACCAGTATTATATGAAATGCTAAAGGGTATTCTCTAAGAAGAGGAAGAAAAAGGTAAAGATAAAAATTATAAACATCAAAGTGACAACAAATACATATCTATCAACAAATGAATCTAAAAATCAAGTGAATAAAAAATCTGAAGAATAGAATAAACTGGTGAATATAATAGAATCAGTGGCATAGAAAGGGAGTGGAGCCCTAACCAGTTTGGCTCAGTGGATAGAGCGTCAGCCTGCGGACTCAAGGGTCCCAGGTTGGATTCCGGTCAAGGGCATGTACCTTGGTTGCGGGCACATCCCCAGTAGGGAGTGTGCAGGAGGCAGCTGATCGATGTTTCTCTCTCATCGATGTTTTTAATTCTCTATCCCTCTCCCTCCTCTCTGTAAAAAATCAATAAAATATATTGAAAAAAAGAAAGAAAAAAAGAAAGGGAGTGGACTGACAATTCTCAGGGGGAAAAGGGTGTAGGGAGTACAGGAAGAGATTGGACAAAAATCTTACACCTATGGACAAGGACAATGGGGAGGCGGGGTAAGGGCATGGGGTGGAGCGGGAACCCGGTGAAGGGGAGCTATGGGGGACGGGGGGTGGGGGAAGAGGAACAACTGTAATTGAACAATAAAGATTTATTTAAAAAAAAAAGTTTATTGGAGCCCAGCCAGCTTGGCTCAGTGGTTGTCAACCTATAAGCCAGGAGATCACCAGAAGTTTCCTGGTCAGGGCACATGCCAGGTTACAGGTTCGGTCCCCAATGGTGGGTGTGCAGGAGGCAGCCTATCAATTAGTTTCTCAGAATTATTTTCTCTCCCTCTCTCTTCCTCTCTTTGAAGTCAATAAAAACATTTTTTTTAAAAAAGAGTTTATTTGAGCCAAACTGACACAGTGCTGGGAAGGAGGATCTCAAATGCTCCAGAGAGTGACAGTTTTTTAAAAAAATACATTTTATTGATTTTTTACAGAGAGGAAGGGAGAGGGATAGAGAGTTAGAAACATCAATGAGAGAGAAACATCGATCAGCTGCCTCCTGCACACCCCCTACTGGGGATGTGCCCACAACCAAGGTACATGCCCTTGACCGGAATCGAACTTGGGACCCTTGAGTCTGCAGGTCGACACTCTATCCACTGAGC